CTGGATGTCCCCTGGCGTTTGTCTCCATTCCTCTCTGGCCTCAGGACCTTCCATGCGTTTCCAGGATCCTTCCTGCAGCCAGGATCTTCATCATCTTCTTTCCAGCCCCCTTTTGTTCCTGAGACAGGTTCCTTTTGGAAGCCCCTGTTTTTGACACCAACTCTTCTTTCCAGAACCCCAAGCTCCCGGTGTTCCCAATCTAAATGGTCAGTGTGCAGAATCACAACACTCGATCGATCTCCTAAGTGAAGGTTGTCTCGCATCTTTTTATTAATAGGAAGGCTCAGGACAAGCTACTGTGGTTTAGTCGAGACTTTACCCGCATCTACAGCCAGCTGGTGTGGATAGCTGGCATATATCAGGTTCTTTGAGGATTCAGAAGTTCAATTTTGGACATTTATGCACACGTGTGTACACCCCGTTATCTGTCACATCTTAATATTCACAATTTGAGATTTTTTTTTTGCCTGTGACACGTTCCAGGTGGAAGCCAGTGCATTCCATGAGCAGTTGGATGCTTCTCACACACACCCTTCCACTGTCCCTCCACTTGTTGCTCTGTCTTTTGCATCTGTCTTCAAGAACCCCCCATCTATCTCCTACAAAGAAGTGCAGTCATTACTTGGGATGTTCTTTCCAGATAACTATTGACCCATACATCCTTCAAAGCTGATACCATCTACTAAGCTCCTTAGATTATTTCTCTTCAGGTTCCCTGGTATTGAATAACATGTCTCCGTCCAGGAACCTCAGAGATTTTTGGGTTAAGAAGTCATCACAGAAACGACTTCCTCGGTGAGGAAAGCAGCAGTGTGTGTTGCTTGTGTTTGGGTGGCGTTTGCTGCGCAAGAGAGCCGCACAAAAGAAGAAATGGTCCTTCCCTTGAAGAGCTTCCAATCATGAGCCTTTTCTCAGCAGGGGCAGCGCAATCTGTTTCCTTGCAAGCTCGTAGCGATTAAACTCAGCTGTCCATATGCTCCGCCAGAATTTATTGTGCTGCTCAGAATTTCTAATCTTTTTAGGTTGATAGACATCAAGGCTATGGAAAAAGCAAGGAACGTGTTGCAGCGCTTCAGATAGGCGCCCGGCAGCCCCATCTGTGGGTATTGACCCCTCTCTCCCTGACGCTTTGGATAGGGAGAGCCTACGAGGATGTGAAGTCATTTGAAAATCCTTGACAGTTCTTGCTGACTGTGTCATGACAACCGCTGCCTCTCCGGGACTTGGGAGTTTCCCTCCTTTAATTTCATTACTGATGTTAGACCAACTTATTCACGATAGTTGGGACTATTCCCTCTGCTGCCAGTCCAACTTTCTAATTAAAATACCTGCAGTATGTGAAGAGATCTTAAATGGAGTTGTTAAGCTCTGAATGTTTCATCAAATGTAAAATAGTCCACATGGTTTTTAAGCTCTTTATTCTTACCTGTGGACTTGTGAAAGTGAGCTGAGGAGAGAGAAAAGCTTTTATGGCTCTTGGAGAAAAATATCCCTGAATTGGGACTAAGCAGTTTTCGAACAATCACGAGAAAAGATGCCAGAATAAGTTCAGCCCTTTCAGGTGCTGTCACTGGCAGCTTTCATTATTCTTCTAAACAACTGCCGTTCTGAAGGAAAAGTTTCTGTTTTTCAGAGATTAAAGCATTCCTGTCCTCATTCATTGCTTTGTCACTTGACTGATTCTTCCCTAATGGGAAAACTACTTAGGAAGGTTTTTATTTTTAACATATAAACCAATGTACTGAGTCTTTGTCAATAATATGAGTTTAAAAAAAATGACACGTAGCATGAGCACAATTATCTTTTCAGTGTGTTTTTTTTTCCTCTCCGTGCTGGGACATGGAATTGAGAGGAAAGGCAGTAGCATCGCTTCAACTTTTCCCCTATTCCACATGGGAAATTAGTCCCATTGCAAATTCACCTCTCTAGCCTTTTGTCAATTGTTTTTTTGCTACCCAGAACCTTATTAAATAGTTCTTGCATGTCCCAGTGTATGCTAAGAGTATATGGCGTTCAGACAATGTTTGTCTCTTGTATCTGTGGTGGCTCTTTCATATAATCTCTGTGTGATGGAGGCAGAAATGGTGGTATTGACTCCATGGTCAATGAGAGTCTCCCTTGTGCATGGAAAGCTGAGAACTGAGCATCAAAACAACATTATTTCACATTTTGTGGAACATATTAACAGGAAGAGGCCACAAATCGCCTTTACAAAATGTCCTGTGCCTTTTGAGAGCACAAAAACAGTTTTGCTGCCTTAAGCACCAGGTCAGCTAGTTAGCATCTTACTTTCCAGGACTGAATAATTCACTGTACTGCTAAGTGTCAACTGGACCTACTTGCAATCAATCAAGGTATTTATTGCTTCCTTCCAAATTGAAGCTCTGCGTACATTTTTCTGACAAATCTGAACTACTGACTCAATGTTATTCCTTGAAAGAAGAATCAATGAATGCCAGGAGTTCGCTGCAGTTCAAGTTATTTACTCTTCAGCATCTCTGCAATTGCCAAATTTCAAATGTATTGGGAAAAACAGGGCAAGAGTGGGTGCTGCTTAGCCAGTAGCAATAACTGATTATCCATGCTCTCCACCACACTGTGCTGGTCAGTGGAACAAAATTCCTGTTTCCTGGAGGAATTGATGACCTGGTGGCATCTCCCTCTTTTGCAAGCAAAAGGATTGTCTGTACGTCACAGGTTGAACCTCCAAAACGCCTCGTGCTTCTATATAAAGTGACCCTGGGCTTAACTGGTTATGGTTGATGCTGACGTTCAAGCCCTGTTTCCAAACGTGAAGGCTTTTTGGGAGGAAAAAGGGCTGCATTAGGATTTAGCGCAGAAGTGGCACCTGGAGCAGATGGATCCCAGGCTGGTGCTCAGGGATTCCCGGCTCCCATTCGGAGGCCCGTGTGGGATAGTATCTTTTATGGAGCTGCCTTTCAAACTGTGCTGCTTGTTGTTCCTCCTCAGTGGCCCTTGATTAGTGATGATTTTCTAACAAGACAAATGTGTTTTAGGTTTTCTCTCCCAGCGCCTGAAATAGTATTTCTGAATCTTCTGTTACAAAGCTGAAAGGACAAAATTCTGATCAGTAAAAACTAATTTATTGTGGAGGAGGAACAGTTGATGGAGGAAACACGAAATTTACATTTTTCAGGGCAAAAGAGATTCCAAGAGGAAGAGATTTGCTTTCCTTAGACCCTGGTTTCTTACCAGCGTTAAGGTTCATTTGCTTCAAATGCTAGTGAGACTTTAATGCTGCTTTGCAGTCTGTTGCATATAGCAGGTTGCAGCCATGAATGTTCCTAGAGCCAAGCTAAGTCGCTCCCAGCCTTTGGAAATTGAGAAGAAGCACTTCCCGCGGTGCAGATCCCGGTAGGGATTCTGCGGTCTGCGCACACGCGTCTGCTCCCTTTCATCTGAACCTGCCTCTCCTGTGCACGGTTTCCATGGAAAGGTTCCTGCGCGTGTTTGAAAATCCATATGATGGCAAGAAATTCCCTGGAGACTCCAGCAGCGCTTGCTGGAGTTATATATAAAGCAGCAGCACGGGCAGGGCCAGCAGAATGGGACGTGAAGACGCATTTTCTTCTCCTCTCTGTCCTGGTGCTGCTCAAGCTGGACCCCGTGTCCGTCTGTGCCCCTTGCCTGGTGTTGTCCTCACGCTTTGGTGTCCGTTTGGCTTTTCCGAGGTTGGCTCACGTGGGGTTTATGCGGCACCAAGCACCCCGGGGTCCCCCTGGCCCTTGGCGTGTTTAGGTGTTGCTATAATATAAACCAGCAGCGCTGGTGGTTTTGCCGTAGGGAGAAATGCGCAGGTTTGATCCATGCGGTGCCGAATAAAGCACAAGCCGCTGCCCTCAGCCCAGGAACGCGAGGCGATGGCAGCACCGTAGTGACCTCCCAGGAACACCGGGTGAGGTGGGTCTGTGCAGCCCTCCCGTGAAAGGGGTTGGAAATGTCAGGGGGGCTGCGAGACGGAGCCCCCGGCACGGCCAAGCCCCCGGGAACGGCGGCATCCGGGGTCTCTGCCGGCACCAGCGCCGGGAGGAAGCAGCCCTGCCCTGCTGGGGTTTGCCTGAAAGCAGCCCCCAAAATTCGAGCACATCGTTTAATGGAAAGTAAATGATAAAATTGGGTTAATACCTACCTCACGCTGCTCTTGAGATTTAATTAATGTTTACAAAATCACTTTAGGTCCTGAGATTTAATTGAAGGGAAAATGCTACTGTGTGAAATGGCTTTTTGTACAGGCGGTGCTATAGGGTTTGGGCTGGGCAGAGTGCTGTGGAACCGGGATTAGTTCATGTTTTCCTACTTTTATGGCTGTGAGGCTTCCTGTAGCTTGCATGAAAATTGTCTCTTTTTGCAATCACAACCATAACATCAGTGTTTTCTGCTCTCTTTAAAGGGATGTTAATCTGCTATCTTAGGTTTCGTCTGTCTATTTAAACTGCTCTAAGTATAACTCATCTCCGAGGAAAAAAAATATAAAATGAAATACATGTTCGCTTGCTTGGGACGAGCTGATACAACTTGCTAATGACTCCAGTGCTGGAGTCCTATGGCTGTCGCTGGCTTGTACTTGTAATAAATCAGCCTAGTACTGGGTGTCCTGCTGTAGTTTAAGGCTACATCTGCGTGTTCATTATAATCCCCTGCTACCAGGAGATTTAAATATAGCCATAAAACTTCATTTCTGGAGTTAAATTTAACAGTGGAGGTGTCAGCCAGGGAGCAAGCCCTGCTGAGCGGATTTTTTTCTTTTCCTTTATTTTGGAAAGAGGAGAGTAGCAGGAGGAGGAGAGGCAGCCCTGCTTTGGTTGACTTCAACCGCTGGAATAAAACACTGTCACCGCTTAAACATCCCTTCTTCTGCATATGTTGCTGTCTTTATGCAAAGACAGCACCTTTTCCTTTACGCAAAAGGTGATGCAAACCATGTGGACGTGGAATTTGGACCGTTTTCTCACTTTGCATCTGTTGTTTCTGCCACGCAGGGCGACTATGACCCCAGCAAAATCAAAGTTCTCCACTTGAGCATGAACCCGGCCAGCCTGGCCAAGCAGCAGCGCAAGGAGGAGCAGCAGCAGCTGCAGGAGGAGTGCGAGCGGCTGCGGGAGCTCGTGCGCGTGCTGGAAGGCGGCGGCTCCGTCCCGCAGAACCTGGAAGGAGTTGGTGCTTTCCAGTCGCCGCAGGAGATCGCGGGTAGGTCGCGAGTTGCTGCTTGCCACGATGGCCTCGCTCGGGTGGTGGCAGAGCAGGCGGTGCCGTTGATGGAGCGGGCGTGGAGGAGCTGAGGAGAGCTGGCTCGGTGCGGGGGAGAATGGATGTGCAGCAGCAATTGCGTGGCAGCTCGGCGCTGCGGTGAGGTGGATAAATAATAATCATCCATACTGCTCGCTGATGATAAATGAAATACCAATATAACAGCCTTGACGAGCTGGGGCTGCCAGTGGGCTGAGAGGAAATATTTCCTGCCTTCCAGGGCTGGCTCAGCCTTTGAGGTCACACAGACAGCAGGAAATAATGCTTGCCACTGCAGGCAAGCAAGTGGTTGAAATCTTTTCAGATGTGGCTTAAAGCAAATTAATATTGTTTATCAGTACATATGTGCCCCATTAATCACAGCTGCATTCAATACTCCATGAAAATAGAATACATCTTTCACTGAGCTAAATACATTTCCCAGAATCTGTGGCTCTCCTCTGGTCCAGCCTTTCTTCCTTTCACATACATGAACAAGACCTTTCAGAACAGTAACCCCAAAGTCAGCACCTCCAGCACGGACTCTCAGACTCTCTAAATCAAGGTAAGAATATCAATAAAATGTGACGCATCATCTACCACACTGTGAGGTGACCAGACTGCGTTGAGTCATGCTGCAGGACCCAAGAGATCTGACTGCTGGAACTCGCTCACATGTACTTACCCTCAAAACATTCTTGCTAGAGAAGAAGAAAATCAGAAAAAAAATCCCCAGGAGTTGCTGAAGGGCTGTGGCCACTAACCTGTCATTTCGCCAGCAGGATGTACTCAAGCTCCGGAGGTCAGAACGCTCCCTCAGATGCAGCCAAGAGGGCAGAGATGTCCTTCCTCTAAGGCCCCATGTGCCAGAGACTTGGGGCCCACAAAAGAGCCCAGCACTGACTTAAAGGAAATCTATGGAAAAGCACATTTCTCACTGTTATGACTCCAAAATTTTCACAGTGCAGCTTGCATTCTTTCCTGTAGCACAAATTACCACGTTTCCTTACTGCTAAGACTGTTCCGGTATCTTGTAGCGAAATGTGCTACTATGTAAGCCTTAAAAGTGTGGTGGTAAAACCTGTACACGGGGAGGTTCATGGAAGTGAAGATTTGCCCGGGAGTTAGGGGTGCAGTGACAGTTTGTCACCGCGTTACTGGCTCCCATAGCAAACGCACAAACATGAAGCACCTCCCAAGCGTTTAAGCAAGGCCGTCTTTGCCTGTAGGAATGTCCAGCTTAAATCCCAGTGGGACTCGAGCAGAGGGGGAGCATCTTGGTGATGGTGGCTACACTGCAGTGTGAAAATCACTGCTTTTTAAAGGCACGGGGATGCAGAGGGGAGGTTGGCTCCAGGGCTCTGCTGTTGCTGAACGACTCTTGGGGGTAAATTAGGGTAATTAAGGGTAATTAAATGGTGTCTTCAGGGGGAAGTGTGTTTCTCAGGTGTGCCTCCTGTGATTTGTTATTCACGATTACGATTCCACTGCCTTTCGTGCAGTTGCTTTTCTCTGTTCATGCTGCAGCTCTGCGCCGGGATGTTAGCAGCTTTGTCCCTACCTCACTGGGATGCGTTTTTCAATCTGTTTTCTCTTCTCCCTTTGATTCTGACAGGCAAACAAACAGCTCCCTGGTTTGCAGCGCGTTCGCAGCCTCTCCAGGCCGCGGTGCCCCAGCTCCGTGCTCGCTCAGTGCCAGGGCTGATGGGGTGGGATGAGCGATGGCCAAAGAGGTTTGTCGGTCCCGGGAGAGGCCACTGCCTTCCCGGGTGCATGGGGAAGTGCTTCATGCACAGAACGGGTCTTGGAAAGCTGAAACTGAAGGGTGGGGGAGCCCTGGGGAGAGACTCTGCGTCCAGGGTATGTGCACAGGAAGCCAGGAAGACCCCGTGCTGCTCTTCTGTTGTGCAGCTCCTGTACCCTGTCATGCGCAGGCAGCGCTGCCCCACACTGCCCAGAACCCCCAGTTCTGCTGCAGGGCGGCGGCAGGGGCTGATGCTAAAGCCTCGACACGTTCCTTAGGCTCCTGGCTCTGGGTGAGACACAGAGGATCCAGCTTTCCACTCCTGACAGCTCTGCTAGTGCTAGGGGCATTTGCTAGGTGAAGGATTGGGCTCGCGACAGGAGCTCCCTCGACTCTGCTTGTCACGGGGTGACCGGCTACCTGGAGGATTGAGGCATGTTGTGCGTGGCCAGGGACCGGTTTTCAGTGAAATTTGTGCTTTTTTTTTGTGCAAAATAAGAGGAACTGTGGAATTTTTCTTGCAGCCCTCTATGGCGGCTGTAGTGCCTACGCGCCTGCTTATCTATCTCATTCGTATAGCGCGTGCGAAGGCAAATGGGATGAAGGAGAATCAAGGGCTCAAGTACCTCTCAGAGCAGGAAAAAAAGAAGTGTGGAAAAAAGGGAGAAAACTGCAAAGGTCACACATAAGTCTGCATTTTGCCTCTTGGCAGGTAGCGGTAAATGTAAGATTTTTATTGTCACATTTTGCCATGCCCCCTGGATGGCTTCTTGGCTCAAATAAGGAGTTTAGGTGGCCTTTAGCCAGGCAGCTCTGCTGTATCCAGCAAGCTTATGTGATCTGCAACAATTATGCTTAAGGTTCAAAGGATTATAACTCCAGCAACCCAAAAAGGCATTAAGGACAATGATGTTGATGGTTTTGATAATAACGCATTGGCTGTTATTAAATTCATTCATTGGACGGGAGTGCAGCCTCTTTTTTTTCTGATCACGGTTCCGACTCCTGGATAGGTAATAAGGAAATTATTGCTGTGGACGTTAAAGCTCATTAAATGTGACTCTATTAAAAATCAAGGTTATACTGGACTTTAAATCTCTTTGAGCATAACCGCTGGAGGCTGCAGCACAGCTTGGCGACTTGCCACGCGCTTCCGTGGGCCTTTTCTCTCCTTTCTGCAGCAATAACCACTATCAAAACGGGCACCGGGGCTGTGGCAAAGGGGAGGTTTGGGGGGTGAGCAGTGACACCTCGCTCGCCTTCATCGCCCCACGCAGAAGGGGTCGTGGTCACGGCTCCAGGTCATTCACCGTGACCGTGTGCGCCAAGGGCGGGCTGCCACCTGGGAGAGGTTTCTCCCTAAGCGCAGGTTGCAGCTGCTTTGAAAGGGTGGCGGGATGGAAACACTGCCCAGGTTTGGCGTTTGCTCCAGGCCTGTGTTTCTCTCTCTCCCCTGTACCCTTTTGCACTTTTTTCCCCAAACCTTTTTGTATTTCAGGCTGCATAGAATCATAGAATCCTTAAGGAAGGGACATCTAGAGATCGTCTAGTCGAAGACCCCCGCACACGCAGGGTCACTTAGAGCACGGGGCACAGGGCTGCATTCAAGCGGGTTTTGAAGATCTCCAGAGAAGGAGACTCCACAGCCTCCCTGGGCAGCCTGTTCCAGGGCTCTGTCTCCCTCACTGTTAAGAAATTTTTCCTTAAGTTCCCGTGGGACTTTGGTGCTTTGGTTTGGTTTGTGGCCATTTCCTTTAGTTCTTTCAGTAGCCACCACTGTAAAGAGATTGCTCCATCCTCCTCACTCCCTCCCTTGAAATATTTGTAGACACTGATCAGATTCCCCCTCAGCCTTCTCCAGGCTGAACAGGCCCAGCTCTGTTCTGTCGTCTTTTGCCTTTTCTTTTATTCCGATTCCTTAGTTATTTTCCCTCCTCTGCTCATTTCCCTTAGGGCCTCTTCTGTCCAGCTCTTTTTTGCCTTGTGTGGTCCTGGTGGACCTCTTATTTTTCTGGCACTTATAGAGATGGAGTTGCAAGCAAGTAGGTAGGTGGCAATACCAGCTAATGGGGAACGGAGAGAAGTGATGACCTCTGTATTCTGGCTAACCTGGGTAGAAATGAGAGTGCTTTGGGTGCTGACTACTCCCATTTGTGATCCCACAGAACTGACTCCTGACCAAAGAATGTAGTAATACATTTTTTTCCCCACCTTTCATGATTTATTCCTGTCCTGTAGGTACAGTAGAGTGTTCTCTCCTCTCTGTAAGAAAAAGAAGTGATTTTAATGTTCTGTTGGGGCTGGTTGGCGAGGCACAGGCTGGCACCCCTACCAGGAAGGAAGGTGGCAAATCAACCATCTATGGAGAAATTCAGAAGGAAACTGTTTTCCTAAGCACAGCGTCAGCAAAAAAGGAAAATTATTCATCGATGTCCATCATTTCCGTGTTCCTTCCTTCCCATTAGAAGAGAAATGGGAAAAGGAGGACCTTGTTGGCCTGGGAAACACGCCCTGAAGCAGGTGCTTGACCTCAACAGCGACACTGCGCCCGGTGCTGAGCGGAGGCAGCCTCCAGCATCGCTGCCATAGTGCAAGTTATTAATTGGAATTAAATTGGGTAATGAATTCATATTAGAATAATCTAATCTTGTCAAAGTGACAAGTCGGAGATGGTAAAATTTGTCACTGTCCCAGCATGCTTGTGCTTCTGATGAATGTGTTTCCACATACAGACGGCGACAAGGAAAAAAAAAGGAGCAGATGGGATTTGAAGCTGCCGATGCCATCCGCAGTTGGCTGCGCGGTTGGTGCTCGGGAGCCATCTGCACGTCGGGGCTGCGCGGCGCGGGCTGCACCTGCAGCGCCCACCCGAGCCCACCCGCCCAGGGCCTTTCTGCAGCCTGAGCTGCTCGTGGGCAGCAGCCCCTGCGCTTCGCTCCGTGCTGAGGGCTCCCGGCATCGCGCCGATGGGACGGGGGGACGGAGGGGGCACCTCTTCCTCGTCGTTGCATTCGGGACGTGGCTCTTTTCTCTGAGATGCTCCAGAGTCAGGGGTGCTGAAGGATTTGCTGCCACCGTAAAGAAACGCAAAGCAAAGGTCCATGGTATGCGCTGTCTTCACGTGCAGGCTGTCGGTGGGAGCAGGATGTTAGCCTTCATGCCTGTATTTCTGCAAAAGTAATTGCTTTCTGCTTATCCTCATTTCCTCTGAAGTTTA